TATAGAATTAGTAAATACCAACATATATGTTTGTAATTTAAACTTTTTTCACTCCAGTTACCCTTCGTTTCAAAAATAAATTAATTAAAAACAGGCTGTATTTCATCTTATTAGAAAAGAAAAACTCCCAACTGCACACATCTTTTCTGAGTTGTACACCGAACAATTTTGTGTTCGTTTAATATCGCTGTATGTAAGCCTCTTGATTCATCGTACACTCCGATACATAAGTATTGGATCGTCTGGTAAGTCTGCAGAAGTATTCAGTGAAGATTCAGCATTCTTACAGCATTCTAAATTACCTCATAGCCAGACAAGTACAATCTGACGTGCACTGATACACCCAGAAAAATATTAATTATCTTCAATAATTTGTTAATACTTTTTTTTACGTTTACTTCAGATTCGATACTTATTTCGGTACTCATGAACAGGAGTGTATGTGAATCACCGAAGGACAGGATAGTCTTTATTATTCGGTTACCATGTTACGTGCCGTAAATCATTGGTTAATTTGAACTTATGACGTAGTGCTACATTGCTGGCTTAATGTGCCACGCACCAAATCGGTATAATAGACTTTCGAGTGTGTGAAAGCGAATCGAGAACTGAACCGAGTGAAAGAGGGTGTCGGAGCTGCGAAAACAACGAGACCGCGATGAGATTTTTTGCAGTACATACGGAACAACGAAAAAAATTCAGTCAGGTTATAACTCTATTTTCAGAGAACGTGTACAAAATTATTACACCACGGTAGGCTCTAGCTTTATTTTGTTTTATTCTGGTCTATCACGGAGACATCTTCATGTAATCATATTTTTATAAAAAACGCATTCATGCGCCTGCCACCCGAAATAATTTCCTTGAAAGTATGTATGTTATGGACTAAATGATTAACCCTTTGCACTCTGATGTCTATATCTAGATGAAATCTATGTAGAAGCAACTTTGTATTTTTATACATTTAAAAATTAAAATATTCTTCACCTTTCCATGGGGGCCTCTACTGTTACATTGCATGTATAATTGTGTGTTAAAATTAAATAGTCAAAATGACTCGGAGTTGCTGGTAGGTCATATTAAAAATTGCTCGGAGTGCAAAGGGTTAATAGGTAATTATTTATAATTCCCGATCATTACGAATAATGGCTCAAAAAAATAATGATAAATATTGATTGATTTATTAAATTAACCAGACATTATGAATAATGCTACATTCCTTCTGGGAAATTTGATAAATCTCTGGATTATTTTCTTTCTTGAACTGTCCCTAAGCAACTCCGAAATAGGTATGCATGTAAACACATTAAAATAACGTTGTCTAACCAATTCTGAATACCTTTTTTTCTTAAACTGTCTCTAACAAACTCCGATCAGTATAATGCTTCAGAGTTGATTAGAGATAGTTAAAAAAAATGTCATTCAGAGCTGCTCAGACACAGTTATTATTATAACTCTGCAATATAAAAACGACATTTATTACGTAACCACCTAATATTTAATTGCATGGTCCTTAATGGTTTAAACAAATAACACATTCCCTCTAAAATTACGTAAAAACGTTATTTGTATGCAGGTACGTATTTCGAGGCCCGTAACGAGGAATTTTTATCGAAACGCCACGCCACGTGTTATCAATCTCTTAAATCTTTATCGTTTCACCGATAAAACAAACGGCTCCGTGAAGGGAAACTGTGTTTCACGGCGTGCATAAATGCATCCCGGTAAATATTCAATTTCTCATTGCAACGTATTTGAATACACGCGCGCGCGAAAAAACATACTCTTCGTCTAGAACGCTTTCCAAGCCGCGACGATTTCAAAGGATTAATACGCGTCGCGTAGCCTCGTCGTTTGCACTCATGAATAAAGAAATATCTCGACGGGTACTCCACCCATAAAACCGCTCACGGTTATTTTAAATTCGTTCTCCCGCACGGGTCGCGTGCCCGAACACGTGTTCTCTTGTGTACACGATTTCGGTACGGTTCGGATGCTACGGTAGAACCTCCACTATCGGAACACCGTTTGTCCCAGAGATGGACAAAGTATATTACCTCGAATAACATCCGATACTAAAAACATTCGTGCTGTAAGAACATAAATATCAGTTTTATTAACCCTTATAGTACGATGACCGGGTACGTTTGGACCCGAATGTTTGAAAACTGTATTTAACTCCATTGATTTGTAAATACAATTTAAGCTAGGAGTTGTTCATATTTAGTCATATAAAAAAAATCAGATGTTTTTTTAATGGTTGAAGTTTGAAAGTCCAGTAATGTCTCGAAGAGTGCAAAAAACTCGGGTCCACTTCGAAGCAAGGCGGAAGATGCGGTGAAGTTACTATTGTTAATTTATGTGATTGATTGAGGTTCCAAGAAAGAATGGAATCTTAATAGATATTTGTTAGAGATTTCAATTGTTTGATTTCTATGTAGGTCGTCATAATACGATTTTGGAATGATTGTGTGCCTTGTTATGGATGAATATGTTTACATTCTGAACAGTGGCACAGAAAAAACTATTGGAAACAATGGCAAGACAGCACAATAGTGAGAAAAACTGACTTCGCGGAACTCTAGTTTCCTGCAAGAGAAGTAGCCTGTATATGCGTGGAATAATTAGTTCACGAACGTATTTTAATTAACCTTATTTACACCTTGTTATCAATTCTGTTCTAGAATTTGTTTCATTATTTAATTAGTATATATTTTTAAGCTTACAAGTGTTACGTTTAAATCTCATTAATTTATCAAATTAATCATAATGAAAAGTATCCGGTTAACAAACTAACTAATCACCATTAACGATAATTACTACCACTGTAATAATTGTCACCATACTTGACGTTCAGACATCAGTCTACCGATTAAACCATTGTGATCACCATCGGTATAATGAGGATTGTGAACCAAGTGACTGCTATCAGATTTCTTAACGACTCCAACCATCACCATTATAATGAGCACTGATCGTAAATAGTATCATCACGATCTTTTTAACAAAATGACTATCATAATAGTGATTAATAGTTTTAAGGATTACCATTGTAATAACCATACAGATTCTAATAAACGTCAGCAAAATGATTATTCATCACAATAACTGGCGCACCAATGATTAATGGTCGTCTGACCTCGATAACGTTATCAAAAAGGTTATTAACCTTATAATATTTTATCGTGACAATTGCCCAAACAATGACACTGACCTCGACTACTAATGTTACAACAATTACCAATCTTAATAACCGCATAATTACTGACTTCGATCATTTCCATCCGATTATTCTAGTCCATTGTTACCACTATCATTACACAGACTGCAATGATCGCAACGATCCTAATGATTGTCAACGCCGGGACCATTGATTCTCATGACAGTCATTGCCTCCTCCTTTTAACTATCGCGAACCATCACCACAATGATTACAAAGTACTCGATAATCATAATAATTAATCATTAATTCGATTACATTTCCTCGATCAACTATCTAACTTAATCTCTTGCTCCCTAAGATACTAACTTAGAATTGAGCCATTCATTTCTCAAAGTGACTAACCACATAATAGATAAAAATATAAAAAGTTAAGCACCATTCAAGTGCTTTGGCGCTAAAATTTGAAAAGACTTCAATAATGACGTTAGCCACTTTGACCTCTGAACGGCTCAATTCTCAGTCCTACCTGTATCCATCGACACCGCTTATTAAATATAGTATCAACGCTAATTGGATATCATAAATTTGATCGAAATAGACGAATTATTACGAGTGGCATCGTACGTATGCGCGAAATGGGATTGATTGGCGGCACTATAGAAACGAACGACACGGCACGAGGAAGACCTAACGGAAAAAAGATGATCCGAGATTAGCGGGGACGACCGGTGAAGCACGGTCGAAGTCGGCTATCGGATTTCTCGGGAAGGGAGGAAAACGTTTAAAATGTGAACAAGGTCGAGACGCGGGAGCAAGTTAATTGGCGCATGAATGTCACGGAGGATTTTTATCACCAGGCGCCGCATAGCACGAGATCACGAAAGACGCGGTGTGATTCGATAAGATTTAGGGTAAAGTTCGTGTCAATGATAACAACTTCAAAGGACACGATAATATTCGTCACGAAGTCCCTGCACTACGCCCACGCATTGCCATTACGCATAGTTTTAATGTCACGGCGGTATAACATTCGGGCTCACGTACAAAATGACCGGTTTTTGATATCGCTTAAAACGTATGAGAATAAAAGAAAAATGTCATATGTAAATTATGAACTTTATGCATTTGTAGCGTACACGATTACCCAGGATATTACCAGATATGGAGAGACTCTTATCTGAACAATACACTGTGAAAGGAAACAATATGCAACAGTATCATACTGACGATTCAAGTTTATTTGCTCGAAAAGAAACATTTTATAATTATGATGTACTAAATACTGTGTTCGAATTGTTCGAACTTTGCAGTAGAAAACTGTACGAACTATTCCCAGTACGACACATTACTTTTAAGACTGAAATTTTCTAGTTTATTCGATCAGAAATGTGCATTTTTACCCTAAATCTTATCATATTTCGCTATCGTTTCAAAAGTGTTCATCCAGATAACGAATTTACCCATATCTGTTTCAGATATAATGTACCAAATAATGGAGTAAACAGATCTTTATTTCCTTCGAGTTTACGTAAATTAGTCGACAAAAGGCTACGCTTGTAGGCAGACCTATAGTCCAGTTATAACAGATTGTATTGTTTCCGAAAGCCACAGCAATAAAGTAAAAAAGAAAGAAAGACAAGGTTCGAATGTGTCAACAGTCGTCGATCGATAATGCTGACGCATACACGTTCCGTACGATCTAACGGTCCATTGATAAATCATTGAAGGTCAAACCAGCCGACCAGTTAACATAATTACAAAATTTCCAATTCTTCGCCGACCCCACCCCACCCCCCACCCTCTGCGCAAAAAAAAAAACACAAAAGCAACAACTTACGTTACTCGTCAGGCCCAGTTCCACAGCACAAAGATCGCGGGTATCTTCCCGGGGATTGTCGGCGATCACACTGTCGTCCCTCCGTCCGATCTTTACGTGCGCGAACTACAAGATCGCTAACACACGAGAGGACACGCGTGACTCGCGATAGGCTGATTTACTCCGGCGGCTTCTTTCCGCTTGGATAAGGAGATCCAGACATATAACCGAGTTACTTCTCTTTACCACTGTCACTGTGAACTTGTTACTCGAACCCTGATCCGGGCCACCGATCGTACGCAATTCCGATCAAGGGACACACACGTAAGCCGCGGAACACCCGCGACCGTGGAGAAAACGGTGGATTTTCGGTCAGTGCGAGCTAGCCGTTGGGAAAACCACCCCCTGCAGAACCGCCGGCGCCCCAACAGCCATGTGCCGCCCTAAACCTCCGCCCATTGGCCCGAACGAGAGAACTGTTCTTACGATCCCCGGTTTCACGGGGGGAAACCCTTTTAATTCCACGTGAATCGTGCACCACCCGCGAAAGACGAGCTCGAAACTGTGTTACGGTTCTGGTCGGTTGTCGTCCGGTCTCTCCGTTACGTTATCATGAACGACGACAACTCTGCACGAGCCATCCCTGCGGGAGCTCACACACCGAGATGGGGGAATGGGAAAAGGCCGACTGACAAGACGTCACGTCTCCCGGGAGCGCTTCGATCTCGCAGAACTCACCATATCCACCGCACAGCTGCCCGCGTGTCCACGCATAACATCGAGGAACGCGTTCCGGGCCGCGGACAGTCACCGATTTTCGTCGTCGTGCGGCAGAAACGTGGGGCAAAAGGGTCGGCAAAACGATTCACGCAACCCGTACACCGACTTCACCCGCGAATCGAGAAAATGGCGATGTACACTCCCTCGCGGTCGCTCGGCTCTAGCAATACCTCACAAGCTACGCTGATTTCCATCGTTGCTCGTGAGCGCCGGTTACTCGATACGGTTCAACGGTGAACTAACGCGCGGGAGAATTTAAACGGCCTTTTCAGGGAATAAATATCTTGAACGAACGTCGCTAAAATACGGCCCGTTGGCGTGAACCTGCTTTTTTAACTTCGTTTTCTCCGGTCGCCATTTTTGAAACTGTTTTTGATACAATCTTATTCTCCGGAAGCTCGTGGATCCTTGATCTTCCTGATGTGATAAATACCAATAGCTTGTGTTTTGGTATAATGTCTGGTTGAGAGTAAAGTATGAATATAAATACATTTTACAGCATACAACTACTATAAGAAAAAGTATAAAGTCAATCGAAGCAACGACAAGAGGGTTTTGATTGTCATATCGTGTAATCAGTCATGCATTATCAAGCATGTGTTTTTTAAATGGAAAATGCTTATAAAAGTCAATTCTTTTGAATGAAAGAGATCCTATAATGTTTCGCTTGACAATTCACTTTTATTATTATTTAAAAAAGCATATGACCTTGGGGAGCCTAAGAGAAAGTAAATGTGTAGTGTAATTTAAAAATAAAAATACTCTTTTTTGGAATAGTATTAGCATTGATCCTTAGGGACTTTTTCTTAATAACGAATGATTGTAAAATGATGTAAATTTTATAGTGTAAACAATGTATTTTCCTGTGAAACTCATTTGTGGCGCCACTTGCCAAGTTGTTCTGTGAAAAACGATAAAATGGTGTCTTGCCGGTGCATCCGAATAATGCCGCGCAAAATTTTATTTGCGTGACAGATAAATGTAGTATTTACAGTCATATAAAGTAGTAATCACATAATTAGGGATTTAGCGATAAGTTGCAAATAATTTTATAAACAGGAAATACTTAATTACATCATGGCTGATGAAACAGAACAGGTAAGTGTTGTTGATTTGTTATTGTGAACTTAAATTTAACCTATTACAACCTAACCTGTATTTTTATTCTATTTAGGTTCCAGCGATAAATGTTAAGGAACCTTTAGACTTGATAAGATTGAGTCTCGATGAACGTATATATGTTAAAATGAGAAATGAGAGAGAACTACGCGGACGGTTACATGTAAATATTTTACTACATAATGTAATTATCTGTATTTTTGTGTTACTGTTATCTCTACTGTATGTGCAAAAACATTAATTACAGGCTTACGATCAACATTTAAATATGGTACTGGGAGAAGCAGAAGAAACGGTAACCACAGTAGAGATTGATGAAGAAACATACGAAGAAGTTTATCGTACTACAAAAAGAAATATATCCATGTTGTTTGTCCGTGGTGATGGTGTAATTTTGGTCTCTCCACCTAGCATGAGGGCACCAATGTAAAATGCCAGTTTTTTCGTGATGTTTGTAAATGTTACAAACCAATAACATAGAGATAAATTTAATATTAATATGATATTACCACCTTTTGTACTAGCACTCAACGAAGTTGTGATATGAGAATCAAGAAAATAACAGATAAAATACTAGGAGTTAATTTATAACAAAGTTATAAATATAAGAAAAGAAAATAAATTCCAGTATATTGTATTAAGACAAGTACAGTAATTAAATGTTTGGAACAATACACATTTTTGGAGTAAAGTGGTTGAAATGTTTTTGCTGTATCATTTTAAGTAGCACGAATGTACATGATTTATTATAATTTGGTTCGTTGTTTTGTGATTAAAGTATTTGTAACATTTAAATTACCAGATCTTGATGTAGTAGAATAATCTGCAGGTTTTAGTATTTGTGAAGAGAGATCTGCAATCCTTTGGTCTTTAAACTTCATCAAAGATTCAAGATGTGTCACTTTTTGTTTAAGCAAACTAATAGCATCATTCTTTTCTTCTAATTCTTGTTTTAATCGAACAAATACGTGACGTGGAACAGTTTTGTTTGCTATTTCTTCTGGATTGAGCACGGACTTCACAGTTTCTTTTCAAGGGAGTAACATTTAAATACAAAAATTTGTTATAGTGCACATTTTTGTATATTTTACGTACCTCCTTTCTCACTACCGTTAAATTCAGAATATAGATTATCTCTGTCTGCATTACAATCCCTTAAAATTTTTATCCTCAAATCGGTTAAAATTTTCTCAATAGCCCCCGGTTGCGAATTTGCTAATTGATTGATTTCATCTTTTCTCAATTTCATATTCAGTTTAGAAAGTACCTTGCGGTTGAGAGTGCACCAATTTTCTACCTTTTTGGCGACGCTGTTCCCGGGTATATAATTATGTACATCAACGTGTCTAGGGTAATATCGTTTTAACAATTCGGCCATAAAAACTAAAATTTATCGTGGATTGTTTTAATACGTATGAGTCATTGAAAAGTAATATTGTTTAGTCAAAATATTTCTTTTTATACCGGCGTCTGAGAAATCTCGAGCAAGATTTTTCTTCGGCTTGGAAAATGTCATTTGCTCGATCCAAGCGTAAATTTCTTCGTGATTATCGGTGGTTTCTGATATCACGCTCATGATTCAATTTTATTATTAATAGAAAAACCTAAAAATGACTTCTTTATAGTACATCGAAATTTATAAATGACCGTCATATTTTTGTCACATTCTGTCAATCTTCGAATCACTGGATTTTAATATGTGACACAGAAAATGTAGTATTTTTACTGTGTACGAGTGTAACTTCACGTTGATCCGGTATTTTGAACAATTTGTGTTTTAAGTATCACTTGTGTCTTGCATCAGACGGAGTAACGGTAACCGAGATGACAATGAACTTGCACGTATTACATGGGACATTCAGGTTTAACTCATAACTTATATTTTTTACTTAATTATTATTTACAATGATTTAAATGTTTTTTTTTTAACTCAAATCTCTTATGCAAAGAAGTAACTGCATTTCGAATTTATCTAATTAATGAAAAATAAAGAAGTTGGTCAAATACAGTTCAAGAAGCAAAAAAATGAATTAAAAAATTAACGAATTAATATTATTGTTATAGTACCCAATTTTTAGCAACATTTTTATTGAATGTTTAAATCATTTGATATATTAGAGCCTTTGTAATGTTAAAGTCCAAATGAATGTATGTATAACATTTCGCACATTTTTTGAAATTTTTATTTAAATAAATGTTATTTTATACACTCCTTGGCAAAAGTAGTTTTTTATTTTAATTTGTGTAACAACAATCTTGACTTACTAAAGAAGATCGGATTTACCGTTTTATAAATGAATTTTGTATAATACATATATCATAAGTTGGTCTTTCTTTCATAAGATGAATAATTCTAGTACAATCAATAATTATTGGATTTAAGTAATTTTCCCATTTTTATGACTGAAGTACAACCGCAGACAAATACGCTTTCCCTATCGTGTTCAAAACTAGTTTCTAAGCTTTCTACGTGGGGTATTTTTTACTTTGTTTACACAACGGCTGGTTGACGACAGAATTCATCACAAAGTTAAAGAACTTCTGTCATTCTGCCTTATTGGGTAATCATTAGACGCGAGTAAAATTAAAAATAAGTTACATCTGTGTCGGTAAACTTAAAAGTATGGTCTCGTCTCTGGCACCTGACCTGAATTTAAGTATTCGAATATATTATAAAATGATTTGTTACAACATACGCCTTAAAGACGCCTTCTTTACGGCTATTTTATGTCTAAGGCGACTTTAAGCCGTCTTCAAGGCGTTATATGCTATCTGGGTGGAGACTTATATTATTTCCAAATTTAATTTGAATCATGATGGAGAACAACAAAAATTTAGATTAAATATGGTATGACCTTCTATATATAGAAGTTGTTCTGACCCACAAAATACAGATATGTTTCTACTTTTAGCGATAAAAATTAATAAAAAAAGATGGCGTCCGGAAAGATACATATGATATTTATATTGATATAAAAAAAATCTATATGGTATAAAAACTGAATTTCTTGTTTCTAAAAACGGAAAATCAGAGTAGCATAATATCTGTGTACTAAAAACGGTAAATATAATATTGAAAACTTTCTCTACATACAGTAAAATTATTGTTATATATTGCGGTTATACATATATGCAAATTCAAATTTTAGTGAATTACTTTCCAAACGTAGGAATTAAATAGAAATATATTTTCTATATTCGAAGTTTTATCACATTACAAACAATCAGACTATGGATGTTTAACAAAATGTTTAACAAAACAATTCATCAATTTTCACCCGGAAGGAACTATTGATAATGAAAATTAATTTGTACATTCTTTTCATTTTCGAAAATTGACCTGTAAGTATTTAAATTGGCACAAACACCCACAATCTAAAAATAAGATTAACAGACTCCTAAATTTCATTAATTCACCATTCTCTGCGTGTTTACACGTGCTATAAATAAACTTCAGATCTTCACACAAAACCACATTCTCCATAATTACTTTAAAGAAATTTATTTTTTTCTTCAAAATTCTATCAACTGACAAATTAATTATGAATTCAATTTAAAGTTTGGCTGAAATATTATTAGTTTTACTACATTTTACGTACTCATATATTGGTAATAAATTCTGATAATGATTATAGTCTGCCAATGTTTACAAATCATATAGCAAAGAATGCTAAAATAGCACGTTTAAATTTGTTGCTTGATCAATACTAACTTCTCCTGCAAAAATTCTTCGAATCGTGGATGCAGTTAAGCGTACGTCATAGGTTCCGAAGGTGGTGTAATACATACGGGGAATTCGAGTCTGCGTTCACGCGAGATACGGCAATTTATAGAAAAGGCGCACGCCCGGTATTCCTCCGAAAGGTTCGGAGGACATGAAGCGGCTCGCTCGACCTCAGTAACACGTTGTACGCACGCGGAACCGAAACAGAAAGTCGGGATAGAGGTCCGAAATACAATGATCGCGATCGATCCTTAATCGGTTAAGCTTTTAAACGATTTAACAGTTAAAACGTGTTCATAAAATCTTATCAATGAATCCAATCTACATAAAATGTAAATCGACAAGTGGTTGATAAAAGATCATAAATTATTACTGTAGCTAATTAAATTGTGAAATTAATTCGGAAACTCTTCTGTGAGAACACCATTTCGATTTTGTATAACTAGTCGGTGCCAGCCATTTATTCGAGGTAGCCATGCCTGGAAAAAGTAATTCTAAGGGTGAGTGAATACATCATTAAATCTTTAATATTGTTTTGTTATTGTGTTTATGCGAGTGACATTTTACAAATATGAAAAATGGGTAATATTTCTTTTCTTTTTGTACTCATGGTTTCATCGATTTTTACTAAACTTGTTCTCAATGGACATCCCAGTGACCTTCAAGCGTCCTCTACTCCAGATGTTTACATAGTGCCGTGATATCGATCTCTTTTACTGAAATATTGGAATTAATTCTCGTCTTAGAATCATCAAAAAATTGTTCACTCCCGTATTGTGTAGAATGAACATCCTTCAATTTAAGACACACGAGTAATTCAAATTTCACTCAAACACCTGCTACAAATGATCGTGTTACGTCTAGTAATGAAAATACAAAGTAAGTACTAAATTTACAGAAAATTTCTCATAGAATGAAAAAATAAATTAGATACTTTTTCACTTATAACGAATCGATTTACATTAAAATATATTACATCAAGTGCACAATACACGTGGCCGTATGCAACAGGTCATACAATTTTAACGGATTTCAAATGAAAATAACAATTATGTACTATAAACGAATGTTATTTATAAAAATGTTCGTAAACTTCATATATTATACATAAATATTAATAGCATAATATTTCTGTAAATATATTGTCATTAACATCTATACACACGCGTAATATTCTAATAAAAATTATAATTGATAATATGTATAAGAGTATATAGTTCCTTTTGTTTCCACATTTTTACTGCATGAATACTTTCATCACTTACGAAATAAATTAATTTAACCGCTCGAAAAATAATATGTATGATGTCATTGAATAACATTTAATGTTTCAAATTGTCCTAATCGTAGATCGAGATAACTGATTTGAAAATTAAATGTATGATGTAACTTAAAACCGCGCTCATGTCAGTATTCGGTTGATGCAACTTCATCGCAACTGGAATTAGTGATTCGTCCGTATTCTTATTACACTTGTACGCTGTTACCACTCTCTAACATTTACTGTAATTGATACTTGCTACAACATGAACTTGAAATACCTACTAACAATAATTTATATTTTCATACAAGTTAAACCAATAGTTTATTTCAAATGTACTAATTTACCGGCTAAATAATATTGATTTATTGATTATTAATAATAATAAATCATAAATTTATTAACAATAATGATCTATTGATTATTAATTCTATTTCGGTTGCTGTGATCATTTTTTTTTCCATTGTATTATATTTAACAAGTATGTACAGAGGATATACTGGGACTTCATTTTATGAATCCGTTGACCTAAATGTCGAATGGAAATAAACGCTCATAACAAACAACGATACTTTGATGCTAAACTAATAAAAAAGGCGCCAGCTCATCGCGTTAAGTGCCCGAAATTGAAGTTGCCAATCGTTCGATGGATTTACAAATATTTATCTGCCAATAATCAAAAAAGTCTGTTGAACAATATGAACGATAGTCATTAGATTAATTTAGAAAGATAGGAAATTATACATAAATATCATTGAGTCATAAGTAATAGCCGCCATAGACATTGAAAAATGATAATTTACTAACAACAATGATAAAAATATTTAAAGTTATTTATTCTTCAACTTAGTAATTTAGCGTAATTAGAAATGAGGACTCTTTTAGGATGAGTGAAATCACTTGTTCAAACAGGAAATGGAAAAACCTTACGGAAAACTAATTTAAATTATCATATATTTTATCTGATATGGGCCAATGTTTATCTTTCAAGGTAATATCATCAAGCACAAATATTAAATTAAACGCATTTTATTTGATACGTGATATCATTCGATCTAGTGTACTTATAATCATATTCACATGAAACAGCGGCTGAGCTTTTTGTTATGTGGGTTACGTTCGTTTTTATTAATCGATTCAGAGAAATACACGCGTAATCCTTCGCCTCGCCCGCAGGAACGATTGATGTCGAAGACCTGAGGGCACATTCACCTGCACCTCGTGCAGTACGTCACGTTCTCTGTTTGAACGTCACGGCTATACCAAAAATACCACGCTTCCTGTGGGAGTGAGTTACACTGTGTAATTTTCGAATGCGTATTTTTACCGGAGACGTGATACTTTCGGACAATATTATAGTTTAAAAAATTATTTGAATAATTATTCTTTTTTTGTTATGCATTTATAGCATACGAAAGTGCTCAAGACATAATAAAATAGAAAAAGTGATGAAATTTAAGGAGGTTTTAAATTTATTCTTATTGTAATAAAACGTTTAACAATGAATATAAATTTCTACATAATATTATTTTTTGGAAATACAATGTATGCAAATATGACTAAATAGTCACTACTTATAGCTAGACTACAAATTTTATGAATCGCATAAACACAATAAAATAAAATGTTTGACAAGGATTGATATTATTTTTTATATGATAAAACGCTTAATTATTGATGAAATTTAATTTTCTTTCATTGTTACGAAATGCTCTATGTTAATGACAATTTACATAAATATTTACAGCTTATTTATAAGCGTTGTACACATTCCTAGAATAGTTTCGAACGCGATTGCATTTAAAAGTTTTTGTACAGTAAAACCTGTTTTTATGCGGTAGATAGGGACCGCATAAAAGAAACCGCACAAAAAAATATTCGGAAATTTCATAAATACTACATATAATAAACAACTTTGTACGACATACTACAGAAATTTTTTTTTATGCGGCGGAGAGGGACCGCATAAAAAAAGTCGCACTTAGAAAATACGTCAATTATTTACGAAATACATGAGAAAGTGCTTCCAAACAAAATAAATAATTAAATTACACATTATAAAAGCATTTAATTTTTCATTGTATACATGGAGAAGTTTTCAAAATGCACATTACATAATTCACTGCTAGTCGTCGTAATCCTTAACGCGCATCTTCTTGTGATGAATTGGTTCACCATCTGCTAGTCTATTTAATATTAGATTTTTTGTTTCTAATGGAATTGTCTTTCTTTTCACTTTTTTTTGGCTACAATTATTCATTTTAAGGGAGTACATATGTTTAAAAATAAAATGAAAATCATAAAAACTATATACAAATAGGAACAAAAGTAATTAATTTATTTACCTTTAATCTCACTATAAAATGAATCCTTAATCACGTGAGTCGTGGATAAAACTCGGAATACGAAGCGTATGCTGCTAGCGCGTCGAGCGAAAATAATTGAATGTACATTGTCGGGAAACTGTTTAAACCAAATGAACAGAGCGTCTTGAAGTGTATATTTATATGTACACTGATAGAAAACATTACAGTAATGCCAACGCCGTTGAAATTCATATACCGCATAAAAAAAAATCGCACAAAAAAAATCGCACAAAACAAATCGCATAAAAATAAAATCGCATAAAAAAGGACCGCACAAAAACAGGTTTTACTGTACTTACATTTGGAACGCGTGAATACTTTCGATTTCAAGATTTATGAGTTCAATCCGCATCACCACTGGCATCTTCTGATTCTTTCTATTTTTATATATTATCGACCCATTTTTACTTATTTTTTATATTTTCTTCTTTTTCACCTATCTTTCATCATTTGTTAATTTCTTATGATTAAGTATAATATATTTACTTCTATGCATACATAAATTTTCACATTCAGAAGCAATGTAAATATCATTTTTTGACGTATTTGCAGAAAGGAGAGGTATCATGTTTCCTACACGGTACCTGATGGCATTAATGGGTTCTGTTGGGCTCGCTATCATTTATGGGTTCAAGGTAAACGTAAGCGTAGCGATAGTGGCTATGGTGAACCATACTGCCGTGAGGCTATCTTCGCTTCACAAAATTGAATCCGATAATGCAACTGCAATTACCGTAGAGGAGTGTCAACATGATGGTTTGTCCCCTAATATAACGAAAACTGTCGTCGAGGTAAATAAATTTTGAATAAAATATATTAGTACCAAATATTTACTAAATGTAAGAATTTAAACGATGAAATTTAAAAATATTTTTTAATACTGGAAATGTAGTGTTAACAATAATTGTTTATACTAAACCTAAGATGTATATGGAGTCTAAAATAAGAAGGACATTTTTTTCCTATCATTATTAGAAAGATTCAATTATAAAATTAAAAACAACATATTATTTCCAACAAATGAAAAAATTATTCAGGCAATTATCCACGAAGTGATTACAAAGTTGTTATATATTTTTGGAATCAATTATTGAAACTCCAGTTTCTTCCTAATTTAATGATGATGATATATCGCTTGTGTAGGATGGACCATTTGAATGGAACGAACCACTGCAAGGTCTCATTTTATCGGCATATTTCTGGGGGTACATGGTGTCCTTATTGCCAGGTGGTAGAATGGCAGAACTGTTGTCGGCGAAATGGGTGATGAATGGATCCGTACTTTTAAACTTAATGGCGTCTATACTGTCACCACTTGCTGCAAACCTCCATTACTCACTTTTTATCGTGATGAGGTTTATTCAGGGAATTGGTGGAGTTAGTATTAAAACATTATTTAACATTTCGAAATTGTTATTACAGTAACGCATAAAGCAATATTTATATTTCTAGGGTGTAACATTTCCTGCTATGCATGTTATGATTGCTAAATGGGCTCCACCAAACGAAAGGAGCGTCCTTGCTTCGGTTGTTTATGCAGGTAAATTAATATTTTTGCTATATTAATTTTTATTCAATACGTATTTTTAGAATAATATATTTTGTTGCGAAGATCAATTTTGATCCCTTAAATATTATTATTATTTTCTGTACCTTCGAGCTTTCCTTTTTAAACCACTACTTTTATATAAATTTCTATTGTTTTTATTTTATTATTTTTCACTCAAGTTTATACATTTCGTACAAAAGTACAAATTAATATTCTCTGTTTAAAATAGGAACCGCCCTTGGTACCGTGATTTCCATTCTCCTAACGGGAATATTAGCCGCGAATTTCGAATGGGTATGGATATTCTATATAGAAGGCGCCCTTTGCTTGATCTGGTGTACTGCCTGGTGGATAATGATCGAGGACAGCCCGGAAGAACAAAAGAGATTTATTAGCCAAGAGGAAAAAGAGTACATCATGCAATCTTTAGGACACACTAAAAATGACAGTGAATCAAAAAAGGTTCGGCAAATATCAAGAGTCATGATTTTTTAACACTTAAACCCTGCATATACACTTAATTACTTTAAATCATTTTTATCTTTCAGAAGTTACCAGTTCCATGGGGAGAAGTATTAAAATCGAAACCATTTATCGCCATTTTAATTGCCCATTTCTGCAGCAATTTCGGCTGGTACATGTTACTTATTGAACTGCCCACATTTATGAATCAGATTTTGAAATTCGACATGAGTTCAGTAAGTAATGCTGTCTAAATTTTTCTTTTCAAAGTTTAAGAGTAATTACTATACAAATTAAATATTTGTATCTGCAGAATGCTGGCCTTTCTTCCATGCCATTTTTATGTATGTGGATTTTTACTATGGCTCTCAGCAAGGCTCTAGCCACTATGCAAGAAAATAACTTAATCACGGTTACAGTATCAAGAAAAATTGGAACATTGTTTTGTAAATTTTTTATTTATGTAATTTTACATACGTCAGAAACGTAATATGGATTTAATTGTATATAATTTAAAATATTTCTCACAGCATCTGTTATCCCTATGGTCTGCTTATTGGGAGTTTCATATGTTGGTTGTAATAGGACATTAGCTGTTACATTGATGACTATCGGAGTCACTTGTATTGGTGGGATGTATAGTGGATTCCTATCAAACCACATTGACATTGCTCCCAATTTTGCTGGTACGCTTGTCGCTATCACAAACTGTGTTGCCACTATACCTGGTTTTGTAGTGCCTATATTTGTGGGAAAATTGACACACGGAAATGTAAGCAATTATATTTAAAACTTTAACAAGTAGCATATTCAATTATAACAAACATCTTGTACTGATGTAAACATAAGCCCTAGACTTATTTAACAAACATTTTACTTTATAGTCGGTTTAATCCTTTTCTGCCTACAGCAAACTATAGGAGCCTGGAGGACTATATTTTTCATAACTGTAGGTTTGTATATAGTCGAAATGTTAGTTTATACTATTCTGGGAAGTGGCGAGGAGCAACCTTGGAATAAAATGAAACCAACTGATGAAGAAACAAGCGATCAGACATTACCACTAAAAGAAGATATTAAAAAATAGCTTTCTTTTAGGAACAAATAACTACTTATTCATTCGCAACACATTTATTCATAGTATTACTTTTTCCGCCTCCATATTTACATATATTTTAATTCATTATCATGTAAAAATTGAAAAATTGTGTAAACAATTAGTCCAAAAATCATGTCATCTGTAATGTACAAAAACTTATTGACTCTTCTCATATGAACGTAATTTAATTTTTACATGAAAATAATATTATATTAAATGTAATAATGTTAATTACATAATTACAATAATATTTACATTTTACATACACATACCACCCTATGTTACACAATTATTACTTACAATTATTGTACTCTCTGTATCTTACAAAAATACATAGGACCCCAATTATTGTTACGGGTAGGAACAACAATGTGACCATACTTCAGTCCAATGTTTGCAAAGTCGTACAAATATTCGAGAGGCGATAAAGCTTCTGACATATCCCTAAAAAAAATATATGACTTATAAAGACTATATACAAACAACAAAAATGACGAAATTATTTACTGAAATATACATATAATGTACATACTTTACAACCATAATAGACTTAGTCATTTCCCATGCCTTTTTCAATGCTACATGTACAACACCATCATTTTGTATAGGACTGAGAGAACACGTCGCATAAACGACTGTACCACCTGGTCTCACCAACTTCAGTGCGTTTCTATTAAATCAATTTTATCAGATATCATTATATAAAATATATGGAAACAATTACATCAAGGTTGGTAAAAAGTATATAATATCTAACACTTTGTATACTGACGTTAAAATTTCTGATTGAACTTCTGGAAGCCGTAGTCTTTCTTTAATTCTGGTATGCTTAAAAATATTGTTTTCATCAGAATGTATGACATGTCTATCCGTTGTACATGGTACATCAACTAGAATCTGAAGAATATTAATACATATAGATTTTACTATATTTGCTATTCAAAAAAAATATTACACATTGAATAAATGATAATACTTTGTTATATATATCATGCTCTTCAATTTGTCGAGCATCTCCTTGAGTTAGATGTATCATGCATTCTGTTTCACAAACATTCGAGACATATTGCTGCATAACGTTCGTTATTCTGTTCACTCTAGATTCCGTAATATCATTAGCAACCACTATACGAGGCATAAGTGTCTGAAGAATAGTTAACGTTTTACCTCCAGGTGCAGCACACATATCAAGTACAACATCACCTAATTGAATGTCAAGAGCTAGTACAGGTAATATTGATCCACCGTCATACAAATAGTAATCTTGAAAATAATAAAGTTTATATTAATAGTATTTCTGTGTATGTCTCTATTAATAGACAATTTAATTAAAATTAAGAGATATAAACCTAGAACACCAGTGGATCCATTTTTAGGAGATGGGAATTTAGAAAAATTTCCTTTTTCAAAAGTATACACATGCAAATGTTCAGGAAATTGTAACATAGATTCTTTGACAATGTTTACATTGAAATCAGCTGCTTTATTATAAAATCCATAATGTTCAGATTCAAGCACATATCCATCCAAACCTGTAAAATATATTCACATAAGTATAGAATGAAATCCTACTCATACTGTAATACAAATATTAATTAAACCAACCCTTTATTTGTGTAGCAGGTACATACTCATAAAGCATAGTCAAATCTAAGGAAGACTCTATAAAGCGATTAGTGTCTATATTGACATCATTTAAATTTCCTTCTATAGATTGTAATTTTACAGGTTCTAATGCATAATCTGTTTTAGTGGGAACTTCATCATTTTCTTCTAATGTCAGCGATTGTGAAGAATGCACATTATTAGCAGGATAAATTGATTTCACTTCTGACAATTGAATATTCTCTATAATAGTATCCATTGGATTTTGTACATCATTCTTATGTATATTTTTCTTATTATTCTTCTTGTTTTCTTTCATAACATTATATAATGATTTTAAATGCACTGCACCTAATAACTAAAACAATATTAATTATATAACTCCTTCTATTTCTTTTCATAAATTTCAATAGGTACATACTTGTAACTCTGTTTTTATCCTTTCTGTATCACTGAAATTATTAACCACAGCTACATATTTACTTTGTTCTTGTAATAACGAAGCTCGAATGTCTTCCCACTTATTTCCATAAACTGATCCATAAAATTCATCAAAGTGTTCCAGTGCTTTATCTTTAACAGTTTTCTTTTTCTTTATCACAGACTGTAAGAAACATTTTAAAAAATTATAAATCAAGGATTAAATCTGTCAATTTTAACTAATGAAATACAATAATTATTTATAATATTTTTATATGTAGGTATCTATATATTCTCTGATTAATTTTATTTCTGTCACACAATTTTCAACTGCTTAATTCCCTTGGAAAAATTTTCTTGATACATAGAATACATAGTCTTACTTACTTCTTCCTTTAAGAAAATATTTAAGAGTATAATGCATCATAATTATTTTATTGATTGTAAATTATTCAAATATAATCATTTTTATAAATCCACACAAGCAGTACATTAAGCGATATCTAGGTAGTTGTTAGCCACAAAGTATTATTTTATCATTGACAATCCATTTGTTATCAATAAAACTTCAACTAATGTATCTGAGTTGGGTACCATAATATTATCTTTTATTCTAATTGTTCTTTTACCTGGATTGTCTCAAATAAATCAACCCAAATTAGATTGGTATCTTATACTTGAGAGCTCTATCATTCAGCACCTCATAATATTTTATTAAGTCCCTGTTCTTATATCACCAAATATTACATAGTAGCCCGAAAATTCTACATAGTGTCAAATATTTTGTTTTTAAAAGAGAGAGTTCTGTTTTTAGAACAAAATGTTTCTTTGGTAATAAAGTTCACAGTACAAAAATTAAACAGCTGAGACTGTACGAATAGATAAACACCGAATAAAAATATTAAAAATTTTCACATTCGCTCTGTGTGTTTACAGTCGGGTGAAAGGTGTACACAAACTTTTTCATTAAAAATTATAAGATACAAACCCAATGATGCGGTGGATTCTTATATCTAACCGAAACCTTCACTACCTCTCTGAATTTCAATTTATTAAATAAAAACGCCATTTTTTGGTAACAGGGTGAAATAATCATACATAACTTGTTCAGGTTACACTGTGCTTTTCTTGCAAACTGAAAACAGAAACAAATGGCGGCAATGCTCGTTACAAGATCTCGTCACCCGATGGCGTTACCAGTGCATTCGTACTTCTTTCGGACAGAAGAAGTGGTCGACGTCGATTAACCGTTAGTGAGAACGGTGTAAAAGAAGGGCGTGAACCGGCGTGAACTGCAGACACAGGTGAAGCAGGACAACCGATGAATCCACCCGTTACGGTACTACCGGTACTACTTGACTTTAACACTGGATATCGCGTCTTTTCTCTCTCCCTCTCTCTCTTTCTACTTAAACGCTTATTTCTGAGTAGACCTTTCTTTTCTTATATCGCCAACTTTCTTTATCACGGAGCCGGGGTTACTCGGCGGAGAAAACAAATCGAACAGGTATATGCATATACGTAAACACAATACGTATCGAGCTACATCATTATCAGATATGAGGGACGAGGAAGCGACGTATTTGTCGTGACATCGAGATGAGAAACGTGCCAAGCAAGATGGAGCGAATGGGGATGGTGGGGATTGGGACGGACACATCTTTGCGCTCCCCTCTTGCGAAGGCGCTGGTGCGCTATGAAACGTGGCTGTTTCGAAAGTTCCAAGTCGAACAGCCTATTTTAGATGCTATAAAACGTTTCGACTTGTAAATTGTTTTGGACGTTGTACAGGTCTCTGTACCTGAACAATGGGACACCGGAATGAATCCCGGGAACCTCCGAGTTTTTCCGGTGATTTACGATACACTTAACAACGGAGTCCCCCATTCCCCGTGGTTTAACCGGCGATACATAGATTTCGTTACAGAATCTTCCCCAGAATCGTAATTGCTTAATCGCGTAACGTGACGTAATAATGATTAACAAAAATAATTTCGTACAAATTACGTTTCGTGTCAACAATGTGAGCCGAGAGTGGAGTGAGGCCGAAGCCGACGCCGATAATCTTGTTACCCTCGAAACGCGTACACACAGACACATACATACATACATATATACATACATATATATATGTGTGCCGGTGAAAGTCTCCACTGTACGGTAGACGGGAGTTCAGTGTTCTCGAGGGGAACGAAAGGAGAACGTCACGCAGGAGATCAGCTCTTTTTTCCTCGTAGAGATCAGGCTAGTCCATGGGGTGCGGTAAAACCCTATTGGCCCCCGCACACATGTACCCGAACGCGGTCGTATGTGTGTATGTGTGTGTGTTCATTGTCACGACGCATACAGAAAACTCTTCCTCTCGATGAATCTCGACGACCCGAATCGCTCGACGGCGAGGCTGGTTTCGTGGATCTCTTCATGAGAGGCACGTCGTACGCGATTTGTCGGGGCACGGGGTGTGACGGGGACTCGAGGCATCGTAAAGGCAATGCACTGTAAGGAGCTCACGACGACTATACCGTCCTTCCCCCTCGCGTCGCCGCCCTCCCTCTCGATCTTTTGCCACCGTCCCTTTCTCTCCCTTCTTTCTTCGCTCCCTCTCTACCCCACCCTCTCTCTCTTTCTTTCCCTCGTTCCGTCTCTTTCTCTCTGTCGCTCTTATCAGAGCCTCGACTGCACGACCTCACTCATACTCTCTCATTGTATTGCTCGCTCGGCTGATCTCTCGAGGAGGGCGCGTTAGGGCGCTCCGCCAGCTACTCTGCGCATCTTCTAAGCGTTTCTTGATTCGGTGCGTACCGAAATTTCGTTCGACGATTCGAACCCCACGCTGCACTTCCCCCTCCTTCTGTCTCTCTCTCTCTCTCTCGCTTTCTTGTTCCTCACCTACCCCGTATATCGAAATGGTGTCTTCGAGTGAACACGGCTCGCGATATCAAAGAAAAACAGAGAGGGCAAAGGACTCGGAAGTTGTGACATCCGGCACACAATACCGCCGTTTCCTGCCTCCCGTGACCCTTGATCCGCTGCCTCTAGCCCACGTGACCCCCGTTTTACTTAATGTAATTTCAATTGAACGCACGTGCGGATACCGAAGACCACAGGCCAGTCTGCTCAGGTCGCGTTAAACATTCTATTTCGTGGAAACGCCCTTTAAAATTTGTTCCCTTTTAAAGTTTATTAGGGGCGTGAGAAATGCCCCCGAGTTTCGTGTACGTTCGAGCCCAGGGAGCGTGTATCATTGATCGTAACAGAGATTCCTTTACAATAGGTGGTTGATTCCTTTCTAAATCTTCGAATTTCCTCGCTGATGGACGGAACCGCGGCGCGATACATTCACCGGCGTCGGCAGCGATTGTTCGGCAGTGAACACGTGGCGCCTCCGTTGAAAAAAAAAAAAGAAAGGGAAAAATGCTAGGATCAAAGGAGAGAAATCACACTCCTCCTGATCCCTTACTTCTTTCTCGTTGTCACCGTCCTACGCTTCGTTCCCGCGGCATCATGCCTACCGTCACGTGCATGCGTGCGTGCATGCGTACACCGCGGGCGAGCGGCGCGAGTGCGTATACATGCGGGGTCGTTGAACGAGCAGGGGGTACCGAGGACAACAGTAACGACTGCACCAACCCACTTGCGTCGACCCTATACAAGTCACGTGCACATACGCTGCCGCTCGGCAATAATGGTCCCCAGAGGGTGTGACCTATTCTATATGCTGGATTCTCGCGCGCGATCAGCCTACTTGCTGGTACCAACATGCATTGGTACCAACGTCTCCCGTGGTGAACTTCGAATTCACGTGTGTATGCACGTACACACGGCGGTTATTAATTGGAAACCTCCATCATTGTTGCTTTCTGGGACTTTTGTATGTGTTCCAGCTGCAACCGCGAATTAAAAACAACCCGTTTTTAATCGTCATGGAACGTGAGTTCCAGCTTAAAATATTATCAGTGGAGAATATAGTAAATACACTTTTAGCGCGAAGTCATACTTAAATTATGATTTTTGAATTTTTATATACAAATCTAAGTTTATAGTTTGACTTAAGGTATTAGTTAAAATAACTCATTTTGTAAGGATTAAATCCGAAAGTTGTAAAGGAAATGTTTCGGAAAGCGTACATTAATAGTTTCTGGATTTTTTTATTTAATCTTTCTTGATGTCTAATTGGTATCCTAAATTGATTATTGTTTACAAAATTTAAACAAGTGGAGATCAATGGAAATGATAAATAAGTGAACCAGTATCATGGGGTTTGATGGGATCGTAAATTAATCTTTACGAAGATAACACCAGACAATTTTCAAACAAATGTTAGTTTACCCCCTATACATTATTTCAATTAATATAGCCCGATAATAAATAATTTTTCGTATTACCTTATTACTTTATCTACAGCTGAATTGCGTTATCATTCTGTATTTCTGTAAGCGCCAGATGTTTCCAAATTTTCCTACCCCTATGCAATCCTACTTTCACCAGAAATGTTACAAATTATCCAAGATACGTGTTACCCTCCGGTAAGTAACAAATTCTAGCAACCGAAACATGTCAAGATAGTGGTAAATACGGGTGCTTAAATAAAGGGAAAAACGGTACCAAATATTTACGAGCTCGTTTGACGTCGACACATTGTCGCTAATGCCTCTATCCACCGACAGTTTCTGGACGAATTTAGCGTGGTGTGGCCCGACTCGTACAAATATTTCGAGCCCCTGACACCGAGATATTCTCTCTCCTCGGAGATTGCGAAATACGCGGCTCGGACGGTGCCGGACGATGTACGAGGACGAAAGTAGGTAGGTAGGTAGGTAGGTGGGCAGACGGAAGTCAGTTTAACGGTATCACCCGAGAGCTCACAGTCAGGTTTCGATCCTTTGCGCGTGGAATGGGGTTTAACGAAATTCGTAGCTTTCTTTAAGCGGGATCTTCCTCTCGTGGCGGGCTCGGAATTCTTTCTTTTTTTACGATCGACGCCCACTGGCAAAAACTTCGGTGAAAGACCAGAGAATTTTTCGAGGTGCTTCACGGAGCCACCACTGTGACACCGCTCTCAACACTTTACGCCCACCGATAGAACGAAATTAGAAAAATCGAACGTGATCCTTACTTTCTTCGAGAGAAATGCATACCGTGATAGATACGCTTAATTTATCAGAGGTAGCCTACTTTATATTATTCTGGTCTTCTTCTTGAATGGATTCGGTCTTCAAAAACAGTCTACTTGGATAAAGGAAACGTTGATCAGTCTGATAATCGCGGTACAACCTTTTTCTTTGCGTGTGGTAAACGCACTTGTCAATTAGTTAATGGACAGACGGAAGAATTGGATAATTTCGATTACTGCCAGTACCCGTTATCTCGGTAACTGATGTCGATTCCTCGTTCTTCAACTTCTCTATTCGCTAGAGATGTTCGATCCTCGTAGACGTAATTAAACCTCCACGCTGGAACGACGTTAAGACCTTAAACGTTTTATGGGGTGAAGCTTTTCCCAGGAATGGGTCCGGGTATCTTTCACGGGGTAGCTGGGGAACGGTGGTCGTCAAGGATGAGGGCATTGACCCCCACCAGTGCCATGCCGCTCCCACACTGCATTACGTCAGGCTACGTCCACTGCATCCTGCTCATCTTCTCGAGGTTTTATGGGAGGTTTGCTACCCGCGTTTGTGGCAACGGCGTGGGGTTGTGCTCACCGTGTGGATCCTTTTCCATGTTCCCCGAAGTTATCATCCTGGGCTCGGTCTAAAAACCTGAGCAAATAAGAAATGTCGGTCGGTCGGCGGTTTCTTCGAAATGGCCATTACTCTTGTTACCAGTTTACGGGATCGAGCTGATCAAACAGTGCAAGATACAGCGGAATATATACACGTGTTCGGTAAGGCTAAGGCAATGCCCTTCCGAATGGGTGATAATGAAAGATAGAGAGATATTTCCGTTATCGTTGTATCGTGCGCTCGTTCGTGCGCTCGCGCGTCACACGATTACGTCCTTGCTGTTTTGGTATTTCGGATTTTCACGCTCGATTCGCCGAAAGGGGTAATAGGAATATATTAATTTCGAATGGTATGCGGTACCTACCTTGATCACCTTCGACTTC